CGCATCGGCTCGAGCGGCGCAGTGCCCGCGCGAGGCCGTGCTCTGCGACGCTAGGTGGGGCTCCGTGCCTCGCTCCATTTGACCCGCCAGAGAAATCAATTTGTCTTACCTTCCCCACGGCAGAGCATGAGAGGTGCGCGGACGGCAATTTCTCACTGCGGGTTCTCGAGGGGGCCGTCTCGCGCGGGCGAGCTCGAAATTCACGGACTGGGCGTTCTAGCAGCCCCATTGGCCCGCCGGGTCCGGCAATTTCAGGCGCGTTGGAAGCCGTGCTCATAATTTGAACATTTTTTATTATAAAACATGTTTTTTCGCGAGTCCCCGCCGGCCCGCCCAGGGGCCCAGCCTTGGATGGCCGACGGGGAAAGAGGCGAGGAGATGCGGGGTGTTATCTTGGAGCATGGGGGATCTCCTTGGAGCCGCGGGGCCGAGTTGGGGGATATTGGGATCCTTTTGGGGCTCTTTTGGAGTCCTCTTGGGGCTCTTTGGGGGGTCTTGGGTCCTCTTGGGGTTATTTTGGGGCGACTTGGGGCCCTCGCGGGGCCTTCCCGGGGCCCTCTCGTGGCTCCATCGGGGTCCTCTCGGGAGTTATGGGGCGCTTCCTAGGGTCGTTTCGGAGACCATCCTTCAAAGGGGGGGGGGTCCTCGATTTGCCCCCCCCTTCGGGGCCATCGCAATAGCCTCTTGGGGCGCCCCCGTTGCCCTCTTGGGGGTATCTTGGGCGCTCGAGGGGCAGTCTCGGGGGCATATTGGGCCCTTCCCGGAGCCCCCCTGGGCCATCTCGAGGCCGCCTTGGCGCTTCGACCGAAGACGCATCGGAAGCGAGAAGGCCAGGTGGCAACAACCATTGATCTCAGATTCGGGAAAGATTTTGGATTCTCGGGGGGGTCCGGAGGTTCGTCCAACAGCACCTGGATCCGTCTTGTGGCTGGGGGCCTCTTACAGACAGTGGGGTAATGTGGGCGCGAATCATGCAATGGGGGCAATGGGGTAATGTGGGGTAATGTGGGCGCGGGCGCGCGCGTCTCCACGCGCGTCTGCGCCTGCGCGGTCATGCGATCCAGCGGGCGGGGCGGCGGGGGCGCTCGGGCCGCCGGCGCTTCGGCTCAGACAGCTTCTCTGAGAGGCGCCAGCTTCCCCCATGGTCGTTCCCCTGCGCGTGGAGATAGTTCCTTGGGCTCGCGACGTCGGAACCGCGGTGGAACCAGGCTGGAACCGAACAGGAACTTGGTGAATTCAGAAGGTTTCGTGACTTGGGCAACGTCGGCGCCATCGTGGAAGCAAGCGGGGACCAAGCAGGAACCGGATGGCTTCAGAAGTTTCTGCGACCTGCGCAACGTCGGCGCCGTCGCGAAACCAAACTGGAACCAAGCAGAACGTCGTGCATTCAGAAGGTTTCGTGACCTGTGCAACGTCGGAACCATCGTGGAGCCAAGCTGGAACCGAGTAGGAACCCAGTGAATTCAGAAGTTTCGCGACCTGTGCAACGTCGGAACCATCGTGGAACCAGGAACTAAACTGGCCCCAAGCAAGAACCTGGTGAATTCGGAAGGTTTCGTGTCCTGTGCAACGTCGGTACCGTCGTGGAACCGACCTGGAACCGAGCAGGAGCCATCAGGAACCTTGTGAATCCAGAAGGTTTCGTAACCTGGGCAACGTCGGAACCATCGTGGAACCGTGCTGGAACCAAGAGGGAACCATGTGAATTAGATTGGAACTCGTGACTTTTGCAACGTCGGAACCATCGTGGGGCCAAAGTGGAAACAAGCATGAATCATGACAACTGATTTGGTTTCGTGGATTTGCAACTTCGGAGCCATCTTGGAACCAAGCAAGAACCATGTGAATTCACAGGGTTCCGTGAACCTCGCAACTTCGGAACCATCGTGGAACCAAGCCGGAGCCACCGCCCTCGGACGCCGGACCTTATCGCGGGGTCCACGACGGCGAGTTTACTGGGCGCTCTCCTTTTAAACTATTAAGTAATAGTGGCCCGCGGCCCATCCGCGGGGCCGCTGGGCCCCGAGCGCCCCCCGCGCTCGGCGGCGGCGGCGGCGGGCGGCGGCGGGGCGCAAGAGCGCTGGGTACATCGTGCCAAGTTACTTAACCGTATGTAGTGATGTAGTGTCATGTTGTTAGCTATCTTGAGCCATGTTGGGCTATCTTGAGCGACCTCGGAGGCCACCTTGGGCTCTCTGAGGCCCTCCTGGAGCGATCTCGGGTTATCCTGGGCGCCTTGGCCGCTCGTTAAACCGCCCGTCCAGGCCAAGGTGTGGGGGGGCTTCCCCGAGGGGAAACAAGGGGTTGTGGAAAAGGAAGGAAAAACATCGTTAGACCACCTGTCGCCCAGAGGTCTGGGATCCCTCGGCAGCAGGCACCTAGATTGAGGTTTCTGTCGTTCGGGCACCGATCGAGCATCTTGCTCGGATGATGTCTGGTTCTGGCTCGATACGCTCCTAGAGGATCCCTTTGTTCTGCCCGTCGGCGCCCGTAGCCAATGGCAAGAGTCCGTCTGCGATGGGGGCCGCAAATCCAATCTGCAGCACTGCGTGGCGCCGTCATGTTCCCCTTGGGCACAAGCCCCAGGCGCGCCGAGAATGTCGCGAGGTGCCGGGCGCAGTGACTGGGTTCAAATCGGCCGGGCTCGAATGAACAGGCTGGCTCAAACGGCCGGGCGGATCGGGTTCCGGCGGCCGGGCGGGTTCAGACGGCCAGGCAACTACATCGGCCGGGTACCCTCGAACTGCCGAGCGGGTTAGAGCGGCCGAGGGTGTCTGCGCGGCCATGCGGTTGAAACGGCCGGGCGGGTTAAGCCGGCGAGGCGGACTCACGGGGGCAAGCGCGTTCAAGCGACGAGGCTGCATAAAGTTGCCACGCGGGCGAAAACGGCCAGGCGGCATTTTTAATACAGCATGGCGGGCGAGGGCGGCCGAGCGGGTTAAAGCGCCCGGGCAGGTTGAGAAGCCGCGCGGATTCAATCGGCCGGGCAAGTTAAAACGGCTGGGCAAGTTGAAGCGGCCAAGCGATTGTAAATTATAGTGGCGCGCGGCCCAATCATATGAATTTGTGAGTGCCGCATGGTGGGTGCCGCTTTCGGTGGAGCTCCCTTTAGCGCCGCGAAGCGTGCGGTGGCTGCGCCGACGCCGTCTTGGTTGTGCCATGCGAGCGCAGCTGCTGGGGCCCTCGGTGAAGCGCCCTATGGGGTCGCGAAGCGTGTGGGGGTGCGCCGAAATGGGCGGGGTGGCGCCGTGCGAACGCAGCCACTTGGGCCTTCGGTAGCCACGAAGCGTGTGAGGGGTATGCCGACATGGGTGCGGTGGTGCCATGCGTGCGCAGCATCTGGGGCCTTCGGTGGAGCGCCCCATGGGGCCGCGAAGCGTGTGCGTGTGAGCGGTGCGCCGACATGGGCGCGGTTGCGCAATGCGAACGCAGCCGCCGGGGCCCTCGGTGGAGCTTCCCGTGGGGTCACGAAACGTATGAGGGGTGCGTTGGTTCCACGCGAGCGCAGCCATTGGGGCCCTGGGTGGAGCTCCATATGTGGCCACGAAGCGTGCGAGGGGCTTGCCGAATCTAGCGCGGTGGCGCCAGGCGAGCGCAGCCCATGGGGTCTTCGGTGTAGCTCCTTATGGTTTCACGACACGTGTAAGGCGTGCGCCGAAATTGTTGACTGGCGCGGAGGGCAAAGGCAGGCGTGAAATTAGACAGGCGGGGGCAGCCGGAGGAGGGAGAACGCGGGGCGCTGTTTGTTCAAGACGAGCACCCAAAGGCCAGGCGAGTCAAAAGGCCCAGGCTGCTTAAACATGCGGGTTAAACTGGCCAGGCGGATTAGAACGGCCAAGGACGTCAGCGCGGCCAGGCAGGTTCAATCGGCTATGCCAATGCGCGCGATCGTAATGACAATGTGGTTTGAAGCGGACATTCGGCTCGAAACGGCTGGGCGGAATCACAGGCCCAGGTTGGCTGAAAAGGGCCGGGCGGTTTGAAACGGCCAGGCGGTTTAAATGGCAACGCAGTGGACCTCCTTGAACATGTAATCAATCTTCAATTTTGCATGTTTACGGATGCTTCTATCTTGCAATCTCTGTTGAGGGGCCTACGGACGTCTCAAGACTCAAGAGGGCCCGAAGACAGGACCCAATACTTCACAAGGATGCGACAAGGGCAAGGGGAAGAGTGGATGTACGAGGGGGAACAACCGACACGCGATCTCGCGCCACCACAGGAAGTAACTTGCGTTTTCCGTTACCGTGGCAAGCAGGTTTAGTGGCCGTCGGTCCATCCCGCCATTGTGCTTTGTTTGTAGGCCTGGCGCCTTTTGGATGCCAGTGGGCACTCGTGAGCCTCTGGAAGGCGGTCGCGTGGTGTCTTTGGGGCCTCTCGGAGGCATCTCGAGGGCCTCATGCCTGATTTGCCGTGGCCATTTTGGCTCGAGAGCTGCTCGTCGGGCGGGCGCGCGGGCGGTCTCGGCGCGCGCGGGGGGGCGCCTCTGGGCGCGGATGGCTGCGGTCGGCTGCGTGGTGCCCGCGAGGCGGCGGCGCAGCCCGAGGCCGCGGCGGTTGGGGGCCCCCCCTGGCCTGCGCAGCGGGCGCGGAGGGCAGCGGCGCGGCGGGCGGCCTGTGGAAGGCTGGCGGCCGCCTACCTGCGCGTCGAGGCCCTGGGGAAGGAGGTGCGCGGACTGGAGGCGCAGCTCGCAGCGATGCGGGAGCGGCGCGCGGAGGCGGCGGAGCAGGCGTTCGACCTGGCGGAGCGCCAGGGCGACCTCAGCGCTGCGGAGCCCAGTGCTGGCCGTGCCCGTAGTCGAGGATGTTGGCGGCTGGGCAGGTCGCTGGCTTCGGCGAGGCTTCGGCGAGTGCAGGCGCGGCAGAGGCTGTTGCCGGGGCTGCCGGGGTGGCCGACCCAGCAGGCGCGCCGTTGGCGAAGGGGCTCGCGAGGGCCAGGCGCGACGCGGGCTTGCGCTGCCCGTCGCGGCGCGGAGCCAGCGTCGCGCGCGTGCTGCTGCAGGCGCTGAATCGCCTGCAGCGGGCCGGCGGCGCGGTGGCACGTGCAGGGGCGCGGCGGCCCGGCAGCCGGAGGGCGGAGGCCCGCGGGCTGCGCCGTCGGCAGCCGGTTGCGCGCTCAGCTATCGAGGCCGCCCCAGCCGACTGGACGGAGGCGGCGCGACGTGGGCGGCCCCTGCCTGCGGGGGCGAGGCAGGCCCAGCAAGTGCGGCTAGCTGAGCGCGTCGTGGAGAAGCCGCTGGCAGGGGGTCCGCGGTGGCGGACGGCGGCGGCGGAGCAGGCTGGCCCGGCGGCCGTCGCCCCCGCGGCGACCGTCGTCGAGACCGCCCCGCCCGACAGCCGAAAGGAGGAGAATGTTGGCGTCGGCGGGGAGGGGGCGGGCGACGTGGCGGGCCTTGTGGAGACGGAGCTCGTTGCGGGCGTCGACGCTGACGGGCTCGCCGGCGGCGGCGGCGGCGACGCGAGGAACGAGGGGGGTGAGGTTCTGGGCGCACTGGCCGAGGAGGTCCCCATCGGGAGCAACCGCCGCGAGGAGGGCGAGGTGGGGAAGGGCGGCGGGGGGCGGGGCGGCGTCGACGCGGCCTTCGACGACAGCGGCGGCCTCGGCAGGAGGGCAAGCCGCAGGCTCACGGTGCTGCAGGGTCACGCGGCGGTCGGCGAGCACCTGAAGCGCGCGGGCCGTGCCTGGGTGGCCAGTCTCATCGGCTGCCGCTGGAGGCAGTGGCGGCGCTCGACGGGCCTCGTGGGGGCGCGCGCGGAGCTCCGCCAGCAGCTGAAGATCGCGCGCGCGGCCCAGCGCCCCGCAGGCCAGGCCGGCGAGGCGCGGCCGATGAACCGCGCGCGTCTCGGCCCGTCGGGGGCGGGGGCAGCCCGGCAGGGGCAGAGTGCGGGCTGCGTGGCCATGAGCCGCGCGGCGAGTGCCAGCTCCGGGCAGTTTTCTTAGGCGTCGAAATGCGCAGTCGGGGCTTTTCGCGGGATCCGCGGGGGTTCTTCGGATGAAAAAAAGCCTCTTCCTTGATTTGGGCCCGGAGCTTCCGTGGGCTTCTTGAGGCCTGCTGGCGGTCTCAGAAGCTGTCTTCGGGCGGAGGGCTCGACATGTCGGTTCGTGTTCCTCCTCTGGGGCCCCTCTTGGGCCCCTCTTGGGATCCTCTTGGGTCGTCTTGGGGGCCTCTTGCGCCTCTCAGGGGTCTCTCGGAGGTCTCTTCTGCCGTTTTGGGGCGATCTTGGTGGCCTTTTCGGGCGTCCTGGAGCGTCGAAGGCCCGACGAGGCGAAACTTGCGAGATCCTTCCAAAACTAGTTGCGAGCCGATGGTTATCCTGGGGAGTCTGGGGGGCCTCTTAGGCCATCTTGAGGTCATTTTGGGTGTCTTGGAGCGATGTTGGTGCGAGTCGGGGCCCTCATGGGCCGTCTTCGAGGTTTCTTGAGGCCCTCTTTGTCCGTTTTGGCGGCCCGTCGGCTCCTCAAAAGTAATGTGGGCAGGCCCAGAAGCGCCGGGAGTGATTGGCGTTCGGCTCTCGTGGGCCCCTTTTGGGCGCCTCTTATTCAATTCTTGAGCTTGTCAGAGATGTTTTTGGTAAGTCTTGGGCTGTGTTGGGACGATCTTGTGGGGTCCTGGGCCGTCTTGGACGCTACGAAAGCCGAAGAGACGAATGTGCTGAAAATAATTTGTTCCCAAAAGGAATGCGACGATTCTATTTTTTGGGGCTCTCTTGGGGTTGCTCTTGCGGCCTTCTTGTATATTCTTGTGGGCTCTCTGATCCGTCTGAAGAGCGCTTGCTGCTGCTGCAAGTAAGCCCCCCCGCCCGTTTGAACCAGGGGGGGCAAACAGCCGCCCGCTCCGAACTGGGGGCGGGGGTCCCCCCCTGGTTCGAACTGGCGGGCGCGGGGGTTTCAGAGCCCCCCCGCCCCCCCTTGCCAGGGGCCCCCCCTTCCCCTTCTGGTTCGAACCGGGGGGGGGCCAAGGGCGACGACGACACCGGTGACAACGACGACGAGGACGACGACGACGACGACGGCCACCGCCACCACGACGATGACGACGACGGCGACGACGACCACGACGTCGACGACGACGAGGTTTGAGCGCTAGTGCTATGTTATTAAAGCTGGATCAAGCTCAGGTAGGGTTACAGGAAGTTTGGATCGAGCCCTGACAAGATTCGATTCGCCAGACCAAAGTAGAGTTGGATCGAGCCTGAGTAGGATCTTATGAGAGCTGGAGCCAGCCCGTAGTGGGATTTTATACAAATTTGATCGATCGCTCGTACTCTAATAAGTTGGATCCAGCCCCGCTCGCAGGATTCGATTCGAGTTGGATGGAACCCCAGCGCGATCCTCGTAAAGCTGGATGCAGCCCATCATAGGGTTTTGCAAATATTGTACCGAGCCTTTGTCGGATGGTACTTGAGCTTGGTCGAGCCCGGGTAAGACATGATTGGATATGGATCCAGCCCCAGTGGCAGGATTTGATTAGAGCGGGTTCTGCCCCCTCCCTCCCCCTTGCCCTTCGGGTCCCAAGGAAGCGGGGTTTGGAATTCCGAGGTTTCACAAACGAGCGGGGGGATGGGTTGTGTTGCAGCCGAGCGACAGTGGATCGCGTTCCCCCGGCCGTTTTGGGGCCACATGGGGCCGTCTTGAAGCTGCCTGGGACTGCTACGGGCCTTCGTTCGGCTATTTGAGGCGCTTCTGGAGACACGCTCGAGGATTTGTGGGGTCGTGTTAGGCTGGCAGAGGAGCTTCGGGGAACTCGGAAACTCCCCGGAGCCCCTAGGCTCTTCCAGGGCCAAGCCTTTTTCTCAGGGCTGCAGGGCTGCATGAGCCCCTGGGGCACTCCACTACGTGCTAAAGGCACGGTGGCGGATCGAACGTATGGGCCTGTCCCCGGTGTGGTGGGGAGTTCCCCATCCCACCAGTGTCTTACAGTGTTAATGTTGATGAGCTTGGTTCAGCATGCTCATCAAGTGGGATCAGACGTATACGCGGTGCTATATCATCACACTGTTTCGATGTTTTGCAAGTGTCATGCTTACAGCCTTTGGCTTAAGCCGGCGCGTGTCCAGAGGAGTATGAGTATGAGTATGAGGAAGAGTATGAAAATGATAATGATGATGCTGATGATGATGTTGATGCTGATGTTGATGCTGATGCTGCTGATGATGACGAGAAGGAGGAGGAGGAGGAGGAGGAGGAGGAGGAGGAGAAGGAGGAGGAGGAGGAGGAAGAGAAGGAGTGTGAGAGAGACATCGAACATGACATTTTACATGCACGCATCGGTATATCTGTGCATCTATGTATATATACACACATATATCTATATATAGATGTGATGGTTCTCTCTCTCTCTCTCTCCAGAGAGAGATAACATCCCGCGCAGTCTCTGGTTCCAACGCACGCGCCTTGGCCGGCCCCAGCCCATTTTTAGACGTTCTCCTCCAGGAGGAGGAGGAGGAGGACGAGGAAGGAGATCGGAAGGAGGAAAGAGAAAGGAGGAGGCAGGAAGATGAGGCAGGGAGGTGATCATGGCGGGTCGCAGCCAGAGTGTGCAGTCCAGCGCGGCTGTAAGAGAGGGCTTCCAGGTTGGAGGCGTGACTCATTTTACGACATTCAGTCAAGACTTTGAAACAAGGACCATGTTGGACTCAGGAGGGGCTCTGGTTTTCAGGCCGCTCATTTGCGTTCTCTCGGAAGTCCTAGGTGTCTCAGACAGACCCGGCAGCAACACCATGTGGGAAGTCGGAGGCCTCGGTGGCGTTCGAGAATGCCTCGGACGCCTTGGGGTTCCGTGGGCTCCAGAGACCGTCGAGTGGCAGACCGCCCGGTGAGGCCTTCGAGCCTTCGAGGTCATTGGGCCGCACTCGCCATGAAGCAAACGGGTCCTGCGGGAAACGGGTCCTTCGGTTTTTGACAGTTTTCGGGCTCCCAGGGCTTTCCACGGGCCCCAGTACCGACAAAAGCTGGCTGGAGACGAACCAAATCGCCCTGGGGGAAATCACCGGTATCCAGGATCAGGACCCTTTTGGCGCATGCAACCAGAGCCCTCACTAATTCTGCTTCTCTCCCCACCTTGCCCACCCTGGGGCCATGTCTGCGCTGGCCGGCTACCTCTGGGCCGTGGTCTCCGTGCTGGGTTTCGGGAGCAACTTCGCGGTGGTCGCCAAGTACGAGGTTTGTTTGTTTGTGTGTGTGTGGTTCTCCTCCCCCTTCTCACCTCCTCTCCCCCATCCCTCGTCTCATGATCTTTTCCACATCGGCACCTTCCGCTCGGCCAGGGCGCTCGTCAGTAGCTGCGGGCACGACAGCGGATGCGCGAGCTACTGCTCGCGTGCTCGCTCCCTCTCCTCATCCTTCCCCTCTCCTTCAAGGCCTGGCACAGAGGGAGGGGGGAAAGGAGAGGAGAGGAGAGGGGAGGAGAGGGAGAAGGAAAGAGCGTGGTTGCCTAATTCAATCATTTGGGCGACCTCTCTCCCCACTCTGTCCCTCGCCATTCTCGTACGGCCTCGGCTGCGCGTATCGTGAGGCAGCGTTGGCGGCCCTCACCGACTCCTCGTCGCCATGATGTCCGCCCCCATTCGCTCCCTCAACAGAAAAACACGAGGCGGGGGATGGGATGTTCTTCCAGCTGGTCCTCTGCCTCGGTGTCTGGTTCACCGGCATGGCGGTGTTCCTGTTGCGCGACGTCCCAAAGTTCTACCCCGACGCAATGATAGGCGGGATCCTCTGGTGCACCGGGAACTGCATGACCGTGTTCATCATCAAGAGCATCGGCCTCGGGTCGGGGCTGATCACCTGGGGCACCGCGTCCCTCGTGATCGGTTGTGAGGGGCCAGACAGCCACTCAAGCTCGAACTCCAGACTTTCGCGGGCGGCGTATTTTCAGGGCCCCATAGACTCAGGCCTTGATAAGCCAGGACGTACATTGGCGCACCCTAGAAAACGCAGCCGTGGGTTGAAACGTCCTTCATTCTCTACTCTCTCTCTCTCTCTCTCTCTCCTTTTGGATCGGACAAAGTCCTGGTTAGCAGTGACTTCGTATGTTGGGACCTCAGATTTCGGTCGGGCTTTGGGCTTCCTCCGCGCGAAGCCAGGGGCCCAGAGGGTGGCGGGGAGGAGTCGGGCCTGGAGAAAACGCTCACCCAGACAAGTCGACCGAGGACATCTGCACTGGTTCACTCGGCATTGGCATTCGAGTGTATCGGAACAGTCCCCACTCGGTTTCGCTAATCGACTTGCGTCTCGCTGGATACATGCAGTTGTTCCAGAAAATCGACTAGCTGCCCCACTGGAATGCGAAATGCGGTGCCGTGCGCACGTGGGGTGCCCCTGGAGCTAGTTTTTCTTTTGTTCGCGACTGGGTTCGATGAGTTTTTGTTTGTTGCCTTTTTCTGTCTCTGGGTGCAGTTTTCGGGCCCTCGGACCTTCGAAAACGGATCCAAATTTGAAAATTGCACCAGATGGAACCCTGGGAGGGGTCGGGTACCGATTCTATGAGAATTTGGCATCATTTCCCCCTCCTGACTTGTTTTTTCAGGGTCCATCCAGCTCAGTCCCCCTGGCCGCTTCCGAGGTGGAATTTGCTTCTGAACGGTTTGCACTGGTGGAGCCATTCTGTGTCTGGCGATCCTTTTATACGTCCGTTCTTGGCCTGCCTGGCCCAGTCTCTGCAGACGAGCTGTTCTCCTCGGGGCAACCTGTAGCACCCTGGTCATATCTAGAACACTGTTGCTAACGAGGCGCGCCCTTGCCAGTCCTAACCTATTGTCTCTGCATTCGGGACAACCATAGGGACAACCATCGGGACAACTATCGGGACACCCATCGAGACAACCGCGGTACAACCGCGGGAGCCGCGGCCAGACGGGAGCGACCCCTTGCAGCGTGAAAATCAGCCCTGCCCTTGCCGCCGCCGCGCAGGCCCGCCTTGCCCGCACTCACGCCGCCTAAGACGTGGACGAGATCGAAATCCACTCTCCAGTTGCAGACCGTTTTTTTTATTCCCTGGCGATAACGGGCGTGACCGGGGGGGCGGAGAGGGCTGGTCTCGTCACGATTCGCGTCGCCTCCGTTTGGAACTGTTTGGGAATGGCTAATTCCCACGGCTCCGGCGCGAATCGTGACAGAGGGGAGGGGAGTGGGGGGGGCGGGGCCAGCCACGCGAATGAAAAAAAGACGGGCACTTGCGGGCCTCCGCGTTTCACTTCAGTCTCTCCCCCAACCTCCAAAGTGGTGTTCTGGACCACACCCCGACGTCGTGAATGTTGCGCATCGTGGAGACCCCCGAGTTTTCGAATCTCTGGGCCACCCCGTGTCCTGGGCTGGCTTTTCATCCCATGAGCAGTCCTTGACGGCCCCGCAAAGGCCCCCAGAGTCTCAGACAGAAAATTGCCCAAACCATCCCTGCATTAGTTTTTCACGACGCGAGGGGGTGTTGGGGTTTCCTCGGGGGCCCCCAAACGTGTCGTCACAACACGGCGTTGTGACCGTTGTGACCCAGTGGGGATTTGTGGCCACCGCACGGTTTTTGGACTCGGGTCGTTCTCCGAGGACCTCTCGGGGGACTGGGGCCTCCAGGGTCCCAAAACCGTGCGATGACGGACCGCGCGGTGAGGTCTCTTGTGACTTCGAGCTCACCACGCGGTCCGTCACCACACGGTTTTGGGGCCCCGAAGGGTTTTGGACTTCCGCAGGCTGGCTGACGGGATTCTTCGGCCTCTTCGGGCTCCCCTCCGAGCAGAAGTGCCTCGAGCTGCCCCCGCTCAACGTCGCTGGCTTCGCGCTGTCGGTGCTGGCCCTGGCCGTCAGCACGCTCATCAAGAAGGAGGCCATGGGGACCCCTCGCTGGTTCCATGAATCGGGAGGCTTGCGACATTCCGCCGAGCCCCAGGAGGAGATGCGCGGCTTTAGACTGTTTTTGTTCCCCCCCTTGGCGCGTAACGGTCGTTACCCGCCCCTCCCGGATAACGGTAACGAGCGTGCGTTTTCAGGGGGGGAGGGCACCGGCAGGCGCCCTGCTGGTGCTCTCAGCTTTGCACAGGTGATCGAATCGCAGGCCCCTCCTGTGCTCGCAGGCATAGCGTTGCGTTCTTGCGCATAATATTTCGATCGCAGCGCACCCCCGCCCCGACGGGTCCCACCCCGCCCAACCGTTACCGTTACTCGGCCCCCCCCCGACCAGCAACAACCGTTACGCGGAAACGATACAGCAGCAATCTCTTTTCGATGTCGTAGGTGTTGTGCCGCATCCCTTTTTGCTGCTTGCGGGTAGTTGATGCGGATTCTTCTTTCTCTTCCTGCGCGTCTGTTGCGGTCCGTCGCCATTTTGGCTCAAGGCTCTCTTCGACAGAGAGGTATCTTCCAATCTACCAGTGGCGTGGGCGATAACCGCGGGATTCACGCCCGGGCAGAATGAGCGCACTTGACAATAACAACCGTTCGAATTTGATGATGGATAATATCGTGAAGGGCAAAACGCGCGCTGCCGACGCGGTGGTGGACTTGGCCTCGCAGTAGGGCGCCAATAATACGTCCAACAAAATGTCCTACCACAAGCCGATCCACGGCTGCCCCAAGGCGGGCATCCCAGACGGCGCGCGCTGGGTGCTCGAGCGCATGGTGCGCTCGCGCATGCAGCCCAACACAGGTCGAGCACATCGGCATCCTCGCCGTGCCCGACGACCCCTACGCGGCGATCGCGCCTGCCAGGGGCTAGGCCAAGCTCCGCCACGCAATTCGTGGCCTCCCGGGAGGCAGCGACGCCCGGGCTACGGCTGTGCGGGCCTACGCGAAACCGCTGTGGACTTGGTGTTTGCCGGTTTCTCTCTGCCACCACTGGACGTCGCCCACGTGGCGATGTCGGCGGCGCTTTCGACGCGGTGCACATAGTGGTGCCAGGGCCGCTTCTGGGCCTCCGACATCGACCTGCGCCCCACCTGCAGTGCGGTCTTGGTGGCCATCGAGCGCATCACCAGTTGTGATCTCCGTTGGAGTACGTTCCTGGAGGTGAACGTCGCGGCGCTCTTCAAGGCCATCGGCCGCGAGTCGCGAGTTCTTGCGGTTGCATTACGACGCAGAGCGCGGAGTACAGTTCCGACGCACGGTGGGCGAGCCTGATGTCCGAGTCCGCCGTTTGCGTGGGCGCCGACACATCTTCTAGAGCAGCGAAGAGAGGGTACCGCACCTCCTTCGCCAAGTATGCCGGGGGAGAGCTCGTGCCCACACTTCCGTTGCTCGCCGAGACACGGAGGGAGTTGATCAGATCGGCCTTGAAGCCTCCTCGGCCCGCACGTGGTCCCCTTTCTGGGACTCGCTGACCCCGGAGGACATGATGCATTTTGAGATCTTCTGCCGTGGAGCGACACACAGCCCGACGAGACGATGGAGCACCCCCAGGCCTGAGCGCACTGCGGCCTGCCCGTCCTGCGGGGGTGCCCATCGACCAAGTGCACGCCGCTACGTGGCCGAGTGTGCCGCCCTGCCCGGTTTCCGGCGGGAGCTGAATGACGCGTGCCACATCCCGCCGGGTTGGCGGGCTCGCCATCCGCGGGTGACGCTGAAGACGGGATGGAGCATTTTCCCGGCTCGCGCGCCCGCGGTCCGCAGAGCGGAGCTCCAGGTGGCCGTCTGCCTTATTGGGCTCGTCGCCATGGCAAAGCTGGCAGAGGACTGCGAGTTTTTGAAAAGAGCCTGGGGCATCCGTGCGACTTCGTCCCGATGTTCGATTTTTGAGGCTTGTATCTCCACGTCGCCATGTTCGCTCTTTCCCAGGTTCTCACTTTCTTTCAGTTGTTCCTGAAGTGCAACACGCCCCCGGGCCACCTTCATCGACGTCATGGGCGCCTGCGTGAAGGCGGCGGGCCCGCAGCGCGCGGCGCGCGGCCTTCTGGTTCGACCATGCGCTGGCCAACAATGTCCGGCCCAGCGCCATCGCGCACAACGCCGCCTCGCAGCAGCCCCGGACTGCGGCTTTGTCCCCGCGGTCTTGGCGGTTGCGGGGGCGCCCTGGTCCGCTGGGCCAGAAGGCGCCGCGGACAGGTTCGAGCTGGCGGCTGGTGAGCTGCTGTCTCGAGCCCCGTGTGCTGCAAAAGCGCCAGCAAGGCAACAATTCAAGGGGTGAGCGGTTTCGGATCTTACTTTGGGGAGTCACCAGGCGAGCCTATCCAGTGCAATCCTTGTGGTCCGCGGTGCCGCTTGGATAGGTGCGAATGCGTGCGAGTACAGTTTTATGCTCGAGCCGATCGAGTTTTCGGGGGACCTCTTCTTGTCTCTGGGGCCTTGACGGGAAGGGGGGTTTCAACCAGTGCATTTTCGGGGACTGTATCGACTCCTGCGCGGGGGGGCCGGCGACCAACCGGCCGGCCGCCGACGCGAATGAGTGCGAGTCCAGTTTCACGTTCGATGCGCTCGAGTTCTCATGTGTGGACCTTCTCTTGTTTATGACGTCGGTTGCGACGGAGTTTCCCGAGGCGGTCGCATTCTTGGATGCGGGCCTCTCTTCGTCCGTGGGCTCGGGCGGGCAAGCTGATTTCGACCAGCGCAGTCTTCTGGAACTAATTTCCCCCGCGACGTCGGGGGGGCGGCTGCAGGGCCGCGCGGCGAGTCCAGGCCGAGAAGTGCCAGGTGCAGGGCCAGCCCCTCGCCATCACTACGGTCGTTGCCGAGCCGCAGCGGGCGCGGATGGGCGCCTGCACCTCGCCGAGGGCCAGCCGCGCCGAGGCGCGGCCTCCGACCGCCAACTCGAAGCCTAAGCGCCAGAAGCCGCAGCGGAAGGACATTCCGATCGTCGCCAAGCTGCGCTCCCTGATGGCCGCCGCGGGCGGCAGCGTGGCCGTCGCGCAGCCTCGGGTGGGCTCCAACTCTGGGAGGTCATCTCGACTTCCGCTTCCGGGTCGCCGCCCTCGGCGCTGGGCGCGCCCGCGGCGGTTCTGGGGAAGGATTCGCCCCAACTCCGGGCCTTCTGTTACAGGGGCCCATGGGTGCAGGCCATGATCGCCGCGTCCAGCGCGGTCCAGACCGCCCTGCAGCAGTCCGCCGAGCCCCCGGTAATCCTGGCGGCCGCCCGCGCGCGGCGCGAGGAGTGCGAGCGCGCGCGGACGGCCCCGGGGAACCGCCGGAGCATCGCCTAGGTCGTCCTGGACAGCGGGTTCGACGCGGTCCTCTTCGAGGGCCAGCGGGCCCCCCTGTCGGCCAAGGCCGCCGTCGCCGACTTCAGCGGGCCTGCGCCGCAGCATGGCGCGCTCTGCGCTTCCGTGCGGGGCGACAGGCCCGTTGCCGCCACCTGTGCTGCGCGTGCTTTTTCCATGGGGAATCAATGGTATGGAGTTTTTCTGCGCGTGGACGACCGGTCTGCCGTCTTCGACTCTCTCCCGCAGATGGAGACGGACGCGCAGGCCGCGTGCGACTTCGACCCGGGCGGGGGCGCCATCGAGACCGCCGGGAAGCGCCGGTGCTGGGAGCGCGGCGAAAAGAAGCAGATCGAACACATCGGCATCTTCGTTGTGCCCGACGACCCCCGCGCGAAGATCATGCTCGCAGCGGGCAAGGGCGAATTCCGCACGCGCGCGGTAGCCGGCCTCGGCCTCTCCAGGGGAAGCGATGCCCGGGCCGCGGCCGCGCAGGTCTACGCGAAGCCGTTGTGGACGTGGCGTTCGCCAGTCTTTTCTTGGCCACCTCCTGACGTATTCCGCGTCGCGATGTCTCTCTCTCTCTCTCTCTCTCTCTCTCTCTCTCTCTCTCTCTCTCTCTCTCTCTCTCTCTCTCTCTCTCTCTCTCTCTCTCTCTCTATATATATATCTCTCTCTCTCTCCCTCTCTCTCTCTCTCTCTCTCTCTCTCTCTCTCTCTCTCTCTCTCTCTCTCTCTCTCTCTCTCTCTCTCTCTCTCTCTCTCTCTCTCTCTCTC